CCCTAAACCCTAAACCCCTGAGTGGCTGCGGACTCGGCTCTTTCTCTTTCTGCTTTTTGCTGCTGCTGCAGCTTCTCCCGCAGCCGCTCCATTTCTTCTGCTGCACTCAGCAGCAGCGCAACAGCCTCGTCTTCCCCCCAAATGCCCTCGAGCACCTGCAGCAGCAGCAGCAGCAGCAGCAGCAATTCGAGAGGCGCAGGAGTAGCAGCAGCAGCAGCGGCAGCGCCAGCGCCAACTTGGCAGGCGCAGCAGCAGCAGCGGCGACAGTTTGAGAGGCACAGCAGCAGCAGCAGCGGCTACAGCAGCAGCAGCACGCGCCACACAGCAGCAGCAGCAGCAGCAGCAGCAGCAGCAGCAGCGAGGCTGACGCTGTGGAGGGACTTGGCAGCAAGAGCGCGCCAGTTGTGCAAAGGATGTCTTTGGGGATTTGTCTCTTTAAGTGCAGCAGGAATAAACAGCAACAAAGCAGGAGCAGCAGCAGCAGCAGCAGCAGCAGCTGGCAGCAGCCGACACAAAGCGAGCCCTTCGCCTCGAGCAGCAAACAGTGCCGTAAACACGAAGCCCTGCGTCGTCTACAGCAGCAGCAGCAGCAGCAACAGCAGCAGCAGTTAAACTCAAAGCCCCGCTACAGGCCTAAGCAGCAGCAGCAGCAGCAGCAGCAGCAGCAGCAGCAGCAAGAAAAGCGCCGAGAAGCCACAAGCAGCGGCAGCAGCAGCAAGAAAAGCGTCAACAAAACAACTCCCGCAAATCCAACAACACCAGCATCAGCAGCAACAACACAACAGCAGCAGCAGCAGCAGCAACAGCAGCAGCAGCAGCAACAGCAGCAGCAGCAACAGCAGCAGCAGCAGCAGCAGTTACGATGAGCTCGGAGAAGAGGGAGCTGCTCAAAACACTTTTGCAAACAAAATCTCCTCGAGGGTTTTCCGCATGCAAATAAACCACCAAAGGGGTTTGCAAGCAGCGGCTTTCCTCAAAGGCCTGCAGCAAACCCTAAACCCTAAACCCTAAACCCTAAACCCTAAACCCTAAACCCTAATTCTAAACCCTAGCTCGTGGAGCTGGCGCTTCGCTGCCAGGCGGCTCCAAACCAACCCACGGGCTCCGCTGCGCTTAGGACTCACACCTTAGGGTTTAGGGTTTAGGGTTTAGGGTTTAGGGTTTAGGGTTTAGGGTTTAGAGTTTAGGGTTTGACCTCTCTGAGGGGCCCCGCGAAGAAGGGCGGATGGGCCCCCTCATATTTGGCCTCGAAGAAAGCAGCAAAAGAAACTGGAGAAAATCCTTTTTCTGAAAAATAAATAAATAAATAAATAAATAAATAAATTAATAAATTAATAAATAAAGGTTTAATTAATTAATTTAATCAATTAGTTTGATTAAATTAATTAAATTAAATTAATTATTTAATTAGTTGTCAAGAAGAAGAAATGGAAAGAAGTTGTAAGGGACTTTTTCGGAAGAATGAAAAAGAAATAAATTTAAAAGCAAATTAAAATAAATAAATAAATAAGTAAATAAATAAAAAAAATTAAGTAAATGAATATAATTAATTAAATGTAATTAAATTAGAATAAAAAATTAGCGTATATGAATACAAATATAAATAAATATAAATATAAAAATATAAATAAAAGAAATGGAAAATAATTTGATTAAAAAGAAATGAAACAACAACAGGGGAAAAACAGAAATTAAAAATAAAATTTAAAAAATAAAAAGAAATAAAATAAATAAAAATAAAGTTAAAATAAAATCAAATAAAAGAAAATAAAAAGAAAATTAAATAAAAGAAAACAAAATAAAAATAATATAAAATAAAAAGAAAATAAAATAAAAATAAAATAAAATAAAAGAAAGTAAAAAGATAAAAAGACTTTACCTAAAAAGGCAAACAAACAAAACCTCAAACTCCAAAACCTCAAACGAAGAACAAAAAAAACAAAAACCAATTAAAATAAAAATAAACAAAAAAGAATAAAATAAATAAATAAAACAAATAAATAGATAATAAATAAAGACAAACAAATGAATAAAAACAAACAAATAATTAAAAACAAATGAATAAATAAAACAAATAGATATATAAAAACAAACAAATAAATAAAAACAA